TGCTGTGTGCGGACTGACCTGCTGTGTGCGGACTGACCTGCTGTGTGCGGACTGACCTGCTGTGTGCGGACTGACCTGCTGTGTGCGGACTGACCTGCTGTGTGCGGACTGACCTGCTGTGTGCGGACTGACCTGCTGTGTGCGGACTGACCTGCTGTGTGCGGACTGACCTGCTGTGTGCGGACTGACCTGCTGTGTGCGGACTGACCTGCTGTGTGCGGACTGACCTGCTGTGTGCGGACTGACCTGCTGTGTGCGGACTGACCTGCTGTGTGCGGACTGACCTGCTGTGTGCGGACTGACCTGCTGTGTGCGGACTGACCTGCTGTGTGCGGACTGACCTGCTGTGTGCGGACTGACCTGCTGTGTGCGGACTGACCTGCTGTGTGCGGACTGACCTGCTGTGTGCGGACTGACCTGCTGTGTGCGGACTGACCTGCTGTGTGCGGACTGACCTGCTGTGTGCGGACTGACCTGCTGTGTGCGGACTGACCTGCTGTGTGCGGACTGACCTGCTGTGTGCGGACTGACCTGCTGTGTGCGGACTGACCTGCTGTGTGCGGACTGACCTGCTGTGTGCGGACTGACCTGCTGTGTGCGGACTGACCTGCTGTGTGCGGACTGACCTGCTGTGTGCGGACTGACCTGCTGTGTGCGGACTGACCTGCTGTGTGCGGACTGACCTGCTGTGTGCGGACTGACCTGCTGTGTGCGGACTGACCTGCTGTGTGCGGACTGACCTGCTGTGTGCGGACTGACCTGCTGTGTGCGGACTGACCTGCTGTGTGCGGACTGACCTGCTGTGTGCGGACTGACCTGCTGTGTGCGGACTGACCTGCTGTGTGCGGACTGACCTGCTGTGTGCGGACTGACCTGCTGTGTGCGGACTGACCTGCTGTGTGCGGACTGACCTGCTGTGTGCGGACTGACCTGCTGTGTGCGGACTGACCTGCTGTGTGCGGACTGACCTGCTGTGTGCGGACTGACCTGCTGTGTGCGGACTGACCTGCTGTGTGCGGACTGACCTGCTGTGTGCGGACTGACCTGCTGTGTGCGGACTGACCTGCTGTGTGCGGACTGACCTGCTGTGTGCGGACTGACCTGCTGTGTGCGGACTGACCTGCTGTGTGCGGACTGACCTGCTGTGTGCGGACTGACCTGCTGTGTGCGGACTGACCTGCTGTGTGCGGACTGACCTGCTGTGTGCGGACTGACCTGCTGTGTGCGGACTGACCTGCTGTGTGCGGACTGACCTGCTGTGTGCGGACTGACCTGCTGTGTGCGGACTGACCTGCTGTGTGCGGACTGACCTGCTGTGTGCGGACTGACCTGCTGTGTGCGGACTGACCTGCTGTGTGCGGACTGACCTGCTGTGTGCGGACTGACCTGCTGTGTGCGGACTGACCTGCTGTGTGCGGACTGACCTGCTGTGTGCGGACTGACCTGCTGTGTGCGGACTGACCTGCTGTGTGCGGACTGACCTGCTGTGTGCGGACTGACCTGCTGTGTGCGGACTGACCTGCTGTGTGCGGACTGACCTGCTGTGTGCGGACTGACCTGCTGTGTGCGGACTGACCTGCTGTGTGCGGACTGACCTGCTGTGTGCGGACTGACCTGCTGTGTGCGGACTGACCTGCTGTGTGCGGACTGACCTGCTGTGTGCGGACTGACCTGCTGTGTGCGGACTGACCTGCTGTGTGCGGACTGACCTGCTGTGTGCGGACTGACCTGCTGTGTGCGGACTGACCTGCTGTGTGCGGACTGACCTGCTGTGTGCGGACTGACCTGCTGTGTGCGGACTGACCTGCTGTGTGCGGACTGACCTGCTGTGTGCGGACTGACCTGCTGTGTGCGGACTGACCTGCTGTGTGCGGACTGACCTGCTGTGTGCGGACTGACCTGCTGTGTGCGGACTGACCTGCTGTGTGCGGACTGACCTGCTGTGTGCGGACTGACCTGCTGTGTGCGGACTGACCTGCTGTGTGCGGACTGACCTGCTGTGTGCGGACTGACCTGCTGTGTGCGGACTGACCTGCTGTGTGCGGACTGACCTGCTGTGTGCGGACTGACCTGCTGTGTGCGGACTGACATGCTGTGTGCGGACTGACCTGCTGTGTGCGGACTGACCTGCTGTGTGCGGACTGACCTGCTGTGTGCGGACTGACCTGCTGTGTGCGGACTGACCTGCTGTGTGCGGACTGACCTGCTGTGTGCGGACTGACCTGCTGTGTGCGGACTGACCTGCTGTGTGCGGACTGACCTGCTGTGTGCGGACTGACCTGCTGTGTGCGGACTGACCTGCTGTGTGCGGACTGACCTGCTGTGTGCGGACTGACCTGCTGTGTGCGGACTGACCTGCTGTGTGCGGACTGACCTGCTGTGTGCGGACTGACCTGCTGTGTGCGGACTGACCTGCTGTGTGCGGACTGACCTGCTGTGTGCGGACTGACCTGCTGTGTGCGGACTGACCTGCTGTGTGCGGACTGACCTGCTGTGTGCGGACTGACCTGCTGTGTGCGGACTGACCTGCTGTGTGCGGACTGACCTGCTGTGTGCGGACTGACCTGCTGTGTGTGGACTGACCTGGTGTGTGAGGACTGACCTGCTGTGTTTGGACTGACCTGTTGTGCGTGGACTGACCTGCCGTGCGTGGACTGACCTGCTGTGTGTAGACTGACCTGCTGTGTGTGGACTGACTTGCTGTGTGTGGACTGACCTGCTGTGTGTGGACTGACCTACTGTGTGTGGACTGACCTGCTGTGCGTGGACTGACCTGCCATATGTGGACTGACCTGGTGTGTGCGGACTGACCTGGTGTGTGCGGACTGACCTGCTGTGTGCGGACTGACCTGGTGTGTGTGGAGTAACCTGTCGTGTGTGGACCTGACCTGCCGTGTGTGGACTGACCTGCCGTGTGTGGACCGACCTCCTAGCGTCGCAACTTGGGACACGAGAAATCCTATTGTAGAACCTGAAAAATGGAAGAAAAACAATTTATGTATGTATACATATCTCTGGGACCTCTAGAGGGGATAGGGCATGCTAATTGAAACAACTTATGCATTTGCATTTTTTCCAATTCTACTATTGGGTGCAAGAACACTGTTGCATGCACTACTGGCCAAGAAAATTGCTCAAGAGATGCAACAGCTATCCTCGCTTGTGCGACGAAAAGACAACCTCATTTGTATAGAATCCTTATTCCTGCACTCAATAACGCACTCAATATTTCGTCACGCAGCCCACGCCTTCACCGCATGCCTCACCCTGGCCATCACGCCAGCGCGGTTCTCGCCTCTTGTTATAACCCAAAACTCCACTTTGTTCCTTGCCCTCGCTTGTTTGAGGCGATCCGCGACCCGCTCCAACGCTTCATGGACGAGTAACCCGCGCACGTCTATTGTGGCAGACCGAGGATGTCTGCCGTCGATTGGTGCGAGGCAGCATATGTCGCTGCCTCCTCCTCCTCCTCCTCCTCCTCCTCCTCCTCCTCCTCCTCCTCCTCCTCCTCCTCCTGCTGTGTGCGGACTGACCTGCTGTGTGCGGACTGACCTGCTGTGTGCGGACTGACCTGCTGTGTGCGGACTGACCTGCTGTGTGCGGACTGACCTGCTGTGTGCGGACTGACCTGCTGTGTGCGGACTGACCTGCTGTGTGCGGACTGACCTGCTGTGTGCGGACTGACCTGCTGTGTGCGGACTGACCTGCTGTGTGCGGACTGACCTGCTGTGTGCGGACTGACCTGCTGTGTGCGGACTGACCTGCTGTGTGCGGACTGACCTGCTGTGTGCGGACTGACCTGCTGTGTGCGGACTGACCTGCTGTGTGCGGACTGACCTGCTGTGTGCGGACTGACATGCTGTGTGCGGACTGACCTGCTGTGTGCGGACTGACCTGCTGTGTGCGGACTGACCTGCTGTGTGCGGACTGACCTGCTGTGTGCGGACTGACCTGCTGTGTGCGGACTGACCTGCTGTGTGCGGACTGACCTGCTGTGTGCGGACTGACCTGCTGTGTGCGGACTGACCTGCTGTGTGCGGACTGACCTGCTGTGTGCGGACTGACCTGCTGTGTGCGGACTGACCTGCTGTGTGCGGACTGACCTGCTGTGTGCGGACTGACCTGCTGTGTGCGGACTGACCTGCTGTGTGCGGACTGACCTGCTGTGTGCGGACTGACCTGCTGTGTGCGGACTGACCTGCTGTGTGCGGACTGACCTGCTGTGTGCGGACTGACCTGCTGTGTGCGGACTGACCTGCTGTGTGCGGACTGACCTGCTGTGTGCGGACTGACCTGCTGTGTGCGGACTGACCTGCTGTGTGCGGACTGACCTGCTGTGTGTGGACTGACCTGGTGTGTGAGGACTGACCTGCTGTGTTTGGACTGACCTGTTGTGCGTGGACTGACCTGCCGTGCGTGGACTGACCTGCTGTGTGTAGACTGACCTGCTGTGTGTGGACTGACTTGCTGTGTGTGGACTGACCTGCTGTGTGTGGACTGACCTACTGTGTGTGGACTGACCTGCTGTGCGTGGACTGACCTGCCATATGTGGACTGACCTGGTGTGTGCGGACTGACCTGGTGTGTGCGGACTGACCTGCTGTGTGCGGACTGACCTGGTGTGTGTGGAGTAACCTGTCGTGTGTGGACCTGACCTGCCGTGTGTGGACTGACCTGCCGTGTGTGGACCGACCTCCTAGCGTCGCAACTTGGGACACGAGAAATCCTATTGTAGAACCTGAAAAATGGAAGAAAAACAATTTATGTATGTATACATATCTCTGGGACCTCTAGAGGGGATAGGGCATGCTAATTGAAACAACTTATGCATTTGCATTTTTTCCAATTCTACTATTGGGTGCAAGAACACTGTTGCATGCACTACTGGCCAAGAAAATTGCTCAAGAGATGCAACAGCTATCCTCGCTTGTGCGACGAAAAGACAACCTCATTTGTATAGAATCCTTATTCCTGCACTCAATAACGCACTCAATATTTCG